TAATTTCCGTAGATTGAATATTTCAATCACAATTCTAAAGTTGTATTGGTTTTAACTCTCTTCTTAATATAGTGAAGGTTTGTTGCATATACTATACAAATAACAAAATATACATATACTATACAATAACAACTTATGTCGAATTTTTAAAATTATTCTTAAAATGCTAATTATATTTTTTAAAAACAATATTAAAAGTAGATATATGCGAAAATTACCCTTCAGATTCAATAGGAAGATGTGGTCGAATTTGGTACTTAGCTTGGGCTGTGAGAAGTGTAGAAATGCATTGGGCCTAATCCTATATCCGGCCCAGCCCAAATAGGAAATATGCAAAATAAAGAACATCGATATAGAAGCAAATTTTTGAGTACGTTGCATGACAAGATATGACCTGGTTATCATTATTGTAGACACTTTAATTAATTTCACAATATAATAACATTTAAATAAATTCAACTTTAAAAGAAATAATAGGAGATACTCTTAATTTTAACCTCATATTTTAAAGAAAAAAAGAAAAAATGGTATGTCTAATACTATTTTAGAAAATGAAACTCTCCTATTCTGCCTTCTTCTTTTGTATGGAATTGATATTGTATTTTTATAGTAGAATGGAAGTGGTTATAGTGTTAGTTTGATGGTGAAATAAATGTATCTCTAGTGCATATATATGATTTTTTGCTTATGTATGTATTGTGTATATTATATATCTTATGTATCACATCATACACACAAGTCATATACTTGACTTAAAAGTACATGCAACGATATACAAGTGTGTATATCATAGTATGTTATACATATATCAATTGTATCTATTAATAATATACATATGACATACAAATACGTACAAGTGTACATGGAGAGTACAAGTCGCGGAAGAAAACTCCAACAAAAAAAATTGATTGCCTCGACATTCTTCGCACTGCTCAATCTAAATTAATCATCAAGGTATGATAACGACATATATCAAATGTTACTTTAAGTATAGTAAACAAGTAAAAATGAATGGATTTAGTCCAAAGTGCACCGCAAATCCTCGTCCTTCACATAATAGAAACACTTCCATTTTTCTTTTGTATATTTTTGTGAAGGAAATAATATTTGGTGCATAAAATAACCTCTATGTTTTGATGCAAGGACCTTAATTTCTGTTTTCTCTCAGTCGTTAGGCGAGTTATTTAAAACAAAAACTAGAATAGTCGATTATTATATTCTTAATGAATTACCGATTAATCCATTAACCTAATATTACAAAATCAATATCAAATTGATAATCTAATAAATCTATTTCATAATATCATTATACAACTATTAAATCAATAACCCAATAACAACAAATTAATAATATTTTTTTAATTTAATTTATCGATCAATTCAATTTTTACGGAGCCCAATTTTTGAGTCGTATTATGTACTATTAGAAAGCATGAGGAAGGACTAATGAGCTGTAAATGCAAAATTTTAAGTAGAAATTATATTTTTCAAAATAGTAAAGCATTCAACGAAGTCAGAAATGACAGAAATAATGCCTTGGAAAAGTGATTACACGACAATGAATATACAGACAGAGCAACCTCAATTATCGGGTTTTTTTAATAAAAAAAATAGAATAATACATTTTGCTTTTAATAAATAATTAAATATTATAATACGTAATTCAATAAATTTAACTTTTATTTTAAGCATGTGAGAAATATAATCATATTTAATAATTTTAAAAATTATTGAACTCACATTTATGACATTACAATACAAACTCAAGATAACACATAATTGATAAGTTTATGAAAAGAAAAAATCAAAAGTAAACATTTTAATTAAATTTAAGATTAAAAGTGCTTAATCGAATTTTAATGAGGGTCTAGAATCTCCCTCCTTCCAAAGAAAAATGTTTTGGTGGGTAAACCATCACACTCATACATGAGAAAAGATCGATTTTTTTTTGAAAATATGATATAAATAATCTGTTTTAATATAATTCTACGATAGGCTTTATAATGAAATTAATAAAATCGAGTTCAAACTCTATTAAATGAACGAGTAAAAATATTATAAGGTGAGAATTTCGAACAATGATTAGGGCTAGATTATTACAAGGTTGGACTTTTAATAAAGTGCTAAACCCTGGGGTCCCTTATGTTTGTTTGATTTTCAAATCAGTATGAAAAAATTGAGCCTTTGCATAATGACAAAAAAAGATTTTGATTAGGGAATTTAATTATTAAGGGACCTCTTATTTCTTTATTGAATTGAAATCTTAATCATAATCATCATGTTTCTTATTGCACATGCTTAATTATCTCAATTTTATTTTTCTCCCTTTTACAGCTTTTTCTTTCTGGAATGAATTCACAAATCACAAAGAAAATTTCCACATTTTAAATCAAAGCACCTGCGCCTTTGAGTTGAGGCCGCTGGCGGCGGTGTAGAACGAACTAATCCGCAATCAGCAAGTTTTTCAAAAGCGAATCGAATGGAATTGTTGCTTTTTAAAAGTCTTGCTTCAAAGAAAAAAGTCGTTCATTTTGTCTCGCTCTAAATGGAATGGCTCTCTTAATTACACTGCATCCCGACCCGATCCCCTATCTCGTGCTAATTTCTAATCATAAACAATAGCATATCTTAATTCTGTATTTTTGAATATTTACATCTAAATATTGTGAAAGGGAACCTATATGGTGTTTACTCGACATTTTAATATGTAATATTTACCATAATATAAGAAATATTACAATTTTATGATATTTTGTTTAGTTTTAAAAAAAATAAAAGATAGCATATCATTTTATTGAGTCCGTAGCCTAAAGGGTATAAAATGTTAATAAAAATTCCAAAATGGTATATGAATATTTATTTTGACCAAAAGGGCAAAATTGCTGGAAGGGCAGCGACTTTGCTTGCCGAAAAAAGTAAAATCGCTGCCTTGACAGCGATTTCTGATTTTTTAATAAATCGCTCCCCTAGGAGCGATTTTCTTAATTTTTTATTTGAAATTTTTAAAAAAAAAGAAGAGCATGTCTGC